AAGTATCACTACTTGCAGATGATATGATAGTATACATGAGTGAAACCAAAAAGTCTACCAGACAGCTGCTTCAGCTGGTAAACACCTTCAACAATGTAGCTGGATACAAAGTTCACTCAAAAAAAAAAAAAAAAATCAGTAGCCCTCCTGGATACAAAAGACAAACGGGCTGGGAAAGAAATTAGGGAAACTACACCACTTGCAATAGCCAAATATAACATAAAGTAGCTTGGTGTTGAGTCTAACTAAGCATGTTAAAGACATGTATGAAAATTATCTTCAAGTCTCTGAAAAAATAAATTGAAAAAGATAGCAGAAGATGGAAAGATCTCCCATGCTCATAGATTGGTAGGATTAACATAGTGAAAATGGCCATCCTACCAAAAGCAATCTACAAGTTCAATGTAATTCCCAACAAAATACCAACACAATTATTTACAGAACTTGAAAGAACAATTCTCAATTTCTTATGGAAAAACAAAACACCCAGAATTGCTAAAACGATCGTTTTCAACAACAGATCGTCTGGAGATATCTCCATCCCTGATAGCAAGCTGCACTACAGAGCAATAGTAATAAAAATTGCATGGTACTAGCATAGAAACCGAATCGTGGATCAATGGCATCTAAAAGAAGACCCAGAAATAAACCCATACACCTACGGATATGATTTTTGACAAAGAAGCCAAAACCATACAAGGGAAAAAAAGACAGTATTTTCAAAAAATGGTGCTGAGCTAACTGGATGTCTACACAAAGGAATATGAAATAGATCCATATTCATCACTCTGCACAAAACTAAAGTCTAACTGGATCAAAGACCTCAAAATAAAATCAGACACGTAAACCAGTTAGAAGGAAATGTGGGGAAGAGCCTGCAACTCATTGGCACAAGAGACAACTCCCAGAACAGAAAACGAACAGTGCAGGCTATATGATCAAAAGTCAATAAATGGGACCTCATGAAACTGAAAAACTACTGTAAAGCAAAGGACTCTGTCATCAGAACAAAACAACAGTCTACAGATTGGGAAAGTATCTTCACTAACCGCATATCTGACAGAGGGCTAATATCCAGTATATACTAAGAACTTAAGAAGTTAAACACCAACACACTAAGTACCCCAATTAAAAAATGGGGAACAGAGCTAAACAGATACTTCTTAATAGAGGAATATTGAATGGCAGAGAAACACTTAAAGAAATGTTAAACGTCATTAGTCATCGGAGGGGTACAAATCAAAACAGTACTGAGATTTCACTTTACACCTATCAGAATGGCTAAGCTCAAAAAACTCAAGTGACAACATATGCTGGAGAGTATATGAAGAAAGGAGAACCCTTCTGCAGTGCTGGTGGAAATGTAAACCTGTACAACCAGTTTGGAAATCTCTCTGGTGTTTTTTTCAGAAAATTACAAGTAGTGCTACCTCAAGATCCAACTATAACACTCCTAGGCATCTATCCAAAGTATGCTCAACTATACAACAAAGATATTTGCACAACCATGTTTGTAGCAGCTCTATTTGCAATTGCTAGAATCTGGAAACAACCTAGGTGTCCCTCAATGGAGGAATGGATACAGAAACTGTGGTACATTTACACAACGGAATATTACTCTGTTATTTAAAACAAGGACATATTGAAATTTGCAGGCAAATGGTGGGAATAGAAAAGATCATCTTGACTGAGGTAACCTAGAAGCAGAAAGACACACATGGTATATTCTCACTCATAAGTTGATAGTAACCATAAAATAGAGGAAAACATATTAATATCGATACTAAAGAAGCTAAACAACAAGGAATACCATAGGAAGATGCTCAATCTTCATTCAGAAAGACAAATGCGGTATATATTGGAAGCAGGAGAAGATAGGGAACAGGACAGGAGCCTACCACAAAAGGCCTCTGAAAGACTATAGACTGAAATATCGAAGGAGATGCTTATACTCATAGCCAAACTTTGGGTATAATGCAGGGAATCTTATGAAAGAAGGGGGAGATAGACAGACCAGGAGAGGACAGGAGCTCTACCTGGAGACCAACAGAGCCAAAAAACCTGGGCCAAGGGGGACCTACAGAGAATGATACTCCAACCAGTGACCATTCATGGATAGGACCTAGACCCCCTGCTCAGATCACTTCCCTCTGGGTGGTGTAGCCTTTCCAGGCCACAGAAGACTGTACCCTGTCTTGATGAGAAGTGATAGGCTAGGGTCAGATAGAAGGGGAGGAGGAATTGTCTTATCAGTGGACTAGGAGAGAGACATAGGGGGAGAAGAAGGAAGGAGGCTGGGACTTGGAGGAGATGAGGAAGGTGTCTACACCCTGGATACAAAGTAAATAAACTGTTATAAACAAACAAACAAATAAATAAATAGAAAATAAACCCCATTTTTACCTGATAACATTTAGCCTCCAAATGCTTCACTATTTTAATTCTCATGTAAGAGCTGTTCCAAAGTTTATTTATTAAGTAAACTGTTATACCTATTTGTTTTCTTGGAAAAAAAAAACTGTTGGAATGATTAATAGTTATGAAAACATCTTTTAAAGTTCTACCAATTCATTTAACAGCATTTCAAAGCTTTATTCCTATGTTTTTAGTATATGAGGTATAGAATGAGGGCATACAAGACAAATATTTACTGAGTGCCTGGGTAACATATTGTTTAACAAAAAAATACACACACAGATAGAAGCAGCAGGAAACTGACAGATTTAAAAGAGAAAAGAAGTTTTTTTTTCCTACGATTCATTTGAAGCTATGAAAGTTATTGAAGTGAAGTACTTGCCTCAAATACTTTTTGAACACATGGAATTAATTTTTATTTTGTATGGTGGTGACACATTCAAGGCTCAATGGTTTTGAATATTCTATTCAATATATCTCAAAAGAAAGACTATTTATGCAGTCAAATATTTGAACTAGTAGAGTGACTGAAGCATAAAAAATAATAAAGAAAAAAGATGTTTAGACACTACATAAATAAAAAATAATAAATATGAGTTTCTTATATAAAACATTCAATTTGAATTTACAGGTTATTAATTGATCTTAAATGCCATTTTAAAAGCTGATGAAATCTCAGAGAAAAGCACTAAAAAGACCCTCCCCATTATTAATTTAGAGAGGTATCCAAATATATATAGTACATATCTATGCATATATTATATAATGTTATATTATACTACATTTATATATTTGATATATAATACATTCTATATAAATATATAGAGTACCTTCAATATAGTCACCGGCTGAATGATAGACAATGTGAATGATATTTATAATGAATAGAGCAGCATCCTATAGATATTAGCTAATTTCTTTTTCCATCATTTGAATGTCAACATTTTGAATATAATTTAATCTCTGTCAGCTAATTTTCTTTATTTTTGTATTTCCTAACTTTCATAAGATAGCTCTTTCTGAGGAAGATTTCTTTTTTGGTATGTGCATTTTGTTTATGCTACACATGCCAAATAGATCTCGCAAGATGAAACTCTGAGCTCATTTGGAAGTCATTTTTGGTAGCACATGAATCAGAACTCTTATTTTCTTCTCAGCACTGCTGGCATTTTATTACTTCCATCTATAGTCCAATATGCTTTTAGCACTAAGAACCCTGAGGCCAAACACACAAAGCACTAAGAAAATGGGAACTTCTAGCAATTCCAATTTTTGTCTCTCTTTCAGGCTTCTTTGCTCCCCTGAAAGACTGAAATCACTTTAAGCTTACCATGAAACAGGAACATCGTGAGCATCAATGATTGACAGAAGCTGGTGATGTTGATTTAGGAGTCTTTGACTTATAGGTCAGGTGTAAAACACGTAAATATGCTTGTAAAGTCTGCTTGTCATACTCCTATGGATTTTTCCAGACTATGCTCAAATGTCAAAGTCCTCATGAAGGCTCCTCTGGCGACCACAGACAGAACTAGGTACTTCCTAGTTTGTATTTTTACTGTATCCTAACATGTTACTATGTCTGGGCACAGTAAATTCTAATGCATGTACCTTGCCTGTATTCGTGAAATAGAAACAAACTACTATATTACCTTCATTTCTGGCTTATTACATCAAATCAAGTGGATTCTCAATGAATAATTGAAAGAATTGTCAGAGAGTGAGTAATAATAACCATTATTATTACTAACCATTATAGGTTACAGACAATCAATGGTTGGAGAGGCCATGAACAACCTAAGTTCAAGACTGCCAATAAGTTTGCATGTCAGTTAAGTTAGCCACAATAAAGATTAATAATAATGATGAAAGAAATCAATTATAAAATGTCTTATAATAAAAGTTATTTAAAGGCTTTGAGTTGTTTACCTCTGGAAATTTTCAGTTAAATATTGAGGTCTATAATTGATCAGAACTGTAGAAAATAAAACCACAGATAAGAATGTTACTTGTGTGTTTATGTATGCATATTATATTTATAACTTTTAAATTTTGAAAATGATTTGAATTTTTGTCTGATCTATTCCTGCTAGCAGATCACATAATAATTATTGCTTAGCTGAAAAATTAACTACGTATATTTGTTAAGGGTCAAAGAACAACTTCAACTTTAGTCTCAACAGAGATGTGAAAGCAATTACGGTATTTATGAAAGTTTGGTGTAGTTTGTACTACTGCCAGACTTACTAGTTCAACTGTTGTGATATGCCCTAATTTGTGTCTCAAGAACTAGGGGAAAGTAGTTCCTCTAAGACTACTCTCACTTCATAAATTGTCAAGTCCTACTCAAGAAGAAACATTTTATGGGTGCAATCACTGATTAATACAGTCCAAAGGAACTAATATCTGTTTGGGTAACAGAAACATACCTCAAATGACAAATAATGTTTTAAATTACATTCCTGCTGGAGATAAAGATCTATAAAATTAAATCAATACAGTCCTTAGATATATAACAATACCAACACAAGTTAAAAAAAAAAAAACTGAGCCACAAGATTCACTATGGTTTAAAATATGTTACTCACCAAAAATAGGGTTCTGAAGTTGTTGAGATCTCCAAAAAAGTCTTCTATGGTTACTGTGTTTGGGTCAAAAATGAAGTATTCTCCCAGGTTCTCATACAGCTTCACCATATTGTTGTGCATGGTGGACAGTTTTTCATACTGTTCTCTGGCATTCTTTGTAAAGCTGTAACTTTGCATTAAGGAATGTTATCCAATAATATTTCAGAGGCTATCACTAGATGTCAAGACTCAAAACCATTGCTTTCATAAATATACTTATATATTGGTTTGATAGAACTGTCATAAAGTGCCACATAGTAGGTGCTTTCAACAACACAATATTTTTCAAACATCCAGAGCTAGAATTCTGCGTGACACGCTTTGGAATATTTAGTTTCTTAAGCAGGCTTTCTCTCCCTTCAATGGCTGATTGTTGCCCTCTTGTTGTGTCCTCATACAATTGCTCACCTGTTTTGTTGTGTGTGCTCAAATCTCCCCTCCTTTCTTTTCTTTTCTTCTTTTCTTTTTTTTTTTTCTTGACTTTTCAAGACAGAGTTTCTCTGTGTAGCCTTGGCTGTCCTAGACTTGCTTTGTAGATCAGGTTGGCCTTGAACTCACAGAGATCAGACTTCCTCTACCTCCCTGAGTGCTGGGATTACAGGATTGCACAACCTCACCCTGCTAAATTCTCCTTACTTAAAAGGCAACCTGTCACCTATCAACATATATCTTGGGGATCCAAGATGGCAGCTTCTAGCTGCACTTTATCTGAGGGGCACAGTATCTGAAACTCCAAAATTGCACCTCACGAAACCTTCTCCAAAGTAGACCATATAGTTGGTCACAAGCAAGCCTCAACAGATACAAGAAGAGTGAAATAATCCCTTGTATCCTATCTGACCAACATGGACTAAAATTAGACCTCAACAAAAACCCCACACAAACATGGAACCTGAACATGTTGTTACTCAATGACAGCTGGGTCAGGAAAGAAATAAAGAAATTAAATACTTCCTAAAATTCAATGAAAATGAAGGCACAACATACCCAAACTAATGGGACAATGAAAGAAGTGCTAAGAGGAAAGTTCATAGCACTAAGAAGAAGAAATTCAAAACATCTCATACAAGCAACTTAATGAGTCACCTGAAAGACCTGGGCGGGGGGAGCAGACACACCCAGTCAAGAGGAGTAGACAGCTGGAAATAATCAAACTCAGGGCTGAAATCAATAAAATAACAACAAAGAGAACAATTCAAAGACTCAATGAAATCAAGACTGGTTCTTTGAAAAAATCAACAAGATAGACAAACCCTTAGCCAAACTAAAAGGCAGAGAACAACAATCCAAATCAGCAAAATCAGAAATGAAGAGGTGAACATAAGAATAGACACTAAGGAAATCTAAACAATCATTAGGTCTTACTACAAAAGCCTATATGGCACAAAATTTAAAAATCTAAATGAAATGGACAATTTTCTTGATAGATTCTGTTTACTAAAATTAAATCAAGACCAGGTAAATAGATCGAATAGTCCTATATACCCCAATGAAAACAGAAGCAGTCATCAAAAGGCTTGTTTCCAAAACAGCCCAGTACAAGATGGTTTCAGTTTAGAATTCTACCAGACCTTCAAAGAAGAGCTAACTCCAATTCTCATCAAAATATTCCACAAAATAGAAACAGAAGGAACATTACATAACTCATTCTATAAAGCCAGAGTCACCTTGATACCTAAACCACACAGAAATCCAACAAAAAAAGAAAATTTCAGGCCAATCTCTCCTATGAATATTGATGCAAAAATACTTAATAAAATACTTGCAAACCGAATCCAAGAACATATAAAAGATATAACCCACCATGACCAAGTAGGAGTCATCAACCCCCAGACATGCAGGGGTGGTTCAATATACAGAAATCCATCAATGTAATCCACCATATAAACAAACTGAAGGAGAAAAACTACATGATCATCTCCTTAGTATGACAAAAAAATGATTTGACAAAATTCAGCATCAATTAATGTTTAAAATCTTGGAGAGATCAGGGATACAAGACATATATCTAAACATAGTAAAGACAATATACAGTTAGCCTATAGCCAACCTCAAACTAAACGGAGAGAAACTTAAATCAATCCCACTGAAATCAGGGACAACGAAACGCTGTCTACTCTCTCTGTATCTCTTCAACATCTCTTGAAGTCTTCGCTAGAGCAATAAGACAACTAAAGGAGATCAAGGGGATACAAATTGAAAAAGAAGAAGTCAAAGTATCACTATTTGCAGATAATATAGTATATATGAGCCACCCCAAAAATATAATCAGTGAACTCCTTTAGCTGACAAGCACATTCAGCAGAATGGCTGGATACACAATTAACTCAAAAAATTCAGTAGTCGTCTTGTATATGAAAGAAAAAGGGCCGAGAAAGAAATTAGGGAAATAACACATTTCACAATAGCCACTAATAACACAAAATAACTTGATGTGACTCTAACCAAGCAAGTAAAAGACTTGTTTGAAAACAAACAAACAAAACAAAAAATCAAAAACTTCAAGTCTCTGAAGAAAGAATCTGAATATGATATCAGAGTGGAAAAAATCTCCTGTGCTCATGGATCAGTAGGATCAACATAGTGAAAATGACCATCCTGCCAAAAGCAATCTACAGATTTAATTCAAGTCCCATCAAAATATGAACAGAATTCTTTACAGACCTTGAAAGAACAATTCTCAACCTCATATGAAAAACAAACAAACAAACAAACAAACAAAAAAAAACCAGAACTGCCCAAACCATCCTGTATGACAATAGATCATATGGAGGTATCTCCATCTCTGAACTCAATTTGTACTATAGAACAATAGCAATAAAAACTGCATGGTACTGGTATAAAACAGAATGGTGGATCAATGTCATATAAATGAAGACCGAGAAATAAACCCACACACCTTCGGACACTTGCTTTTTGACAAACAACCCAAAATTATACAATAAAAAAAAGACAGCATCTTCAACAAATGATGCTGGTCTAACTGGATGTCTACATGTAGAAATATGCAAATAGATCCATACTTATCATCCTGCACAAAACTAAAGTCCAAGGGGATCAAAGACCTCAATATAAAACGAGACACACTAAAACTGTTAGAAGAAAAAGTGGATAAGAGCCTATAACTCATTGGCATAAGAGACAGCTTCTTGAACAGAACACCAACAGTGCAGGGCTATATGAACAAACATCAATAAATGGGACCTCATGAAACTAAAAAGCTACTGTAAAGCAAAGGACACTGTTATTAGAACAAAATGACAGCCTACATCAGGGAAGGATCTGACAGAGGGCTAATGTCCAGAATGTATAAAGAACTCAAACAGTTAAACAGCAACTAATCAAATATCCAACTAAAAAATGGCATATAGAGCTAAACAGAATTCTCTATAGAGGAATATCAAATGTCAGAGAAACATAAAGAAACGTTCAACATCCTTAGTCATCAGGGAAATGCAAATCAAAGCGACCCTGAGATTTTACCTTATACCCATCAGAACGGCTAAGATAAAAACTCAAGTGACAATGCATGCTGTAGAGGACGTGGAGAAAGGGGAACCCTTCTCCATTGTTGGTGGGAATGTTAACTTGTACATCCACTTTGGAAATCACTCTGGTACTTTCTCAGACAAGTAGGGATAGTGCTACTTCAAGATCCAGCTGTACTACTCCTAGGCATATATCAAAAAATATGCTTAAGAACACAACAAGGACATCTGCTCGGCTATGTTCATAGTAGCTTTATCTGCAATAGCCAGAAACTGGAAACAATACAGATGTCCCTCAAGGGAGGAATGGATGCAGAAATTGTGGTACATTTACACAATGGAATACTACTCAGCAATTATAAACAAGGAAATCATGAAATTTGCAGGGAAATGTTAGGATATAGAAAAGCTTATCCTGAGTGAGGTATCCCAGAAGCAGAAAGACACACACAGTATATACTCACTTATAATTGGATGTTAGACATATAATATAGAATAAACATACCAAAATCTATAAACGTAAAGAACCTAATCAAGAAGGAGGACCCTGTGTAAGATGATCAATCCTCACTCAGAAAAGCAAACGAGATGGATATGGGAAAAGGGAGAAAACAGGAAACACCACTGGAGCCTACCATGGAGGGCCTCTGAAAGGCTCTACCCAGCAGTGTATCAAAGCAGATGCTGACGCTCATAAACAATCTTTTGACAGAGTGCAGGGAATCTTATGAAAGAAGGGGGAGATAGAAAGACCTGGAGGGGACAAGAGCTCCACAAGGAAAGCAACAAAACCATAAAATCTGTGCACAATGGTCTTTTCTGAGACTGATACTCTGATCAAGGACCATTCATGGAGATAACCTAGAATCCCTGTACAGATTTAGCCCATGGCGTCTCAGTATCTAAGTGGGTTCCCTAGTAAGGGGAAAAGAGACTGTCTCTGACATGAACTCAGTGTCTGGCTACTAGATCACCTCCCCCTGAGAAGGGAACAGCCTTACCAGACCACAGAGGAAGACCATGCAGCCAGTCCTGATAATACATTATAGGCTAGGGTCAGATGGAAGAAGAGGAGCGTCTCCTCTATCAGTGGACATGGCGAGGGGCCGGGAGGAGATGAGGGAGGCAGGATGGAACTGGGAGGGAATGATGGATAAACATAGTGAAATCTATACACCTAAAGAAGATAAACAAGAAAGAGGACCTTGGGGTAAGATGATCAATCCTCACTTAGAAAGACAAATGGGGTGTGCATTGGATGTAGGAGAAAAAAAAAGTAACAGGACAGAAGCCTACCACAGAGGGCCTCTGAAAGTGTCCACCTAGCAGTTTATCAAAGCAGATACTGAGACTCATAGCCAAACCTTCCGCAGAGTGCAGGGAATCATATGAAAAAAGGGGGAGTTAGTATGATGTGGAAAGGATAAGAGCTCCACAAGAACCAAATATATCTGGCACAGGTGTCTTTTCTGAGACTGATACTCCACCAAGGACCAGGTATGGATATAACCTAGAACCTCTTCTCTGATGTAGCCCGTGGTAGCTCAGTAACCAATTGGTTTCCTATAGTAAGGGGAACAGGAACTATTTCTGACAGGAACTCAATGGCAGGCGTCCCCACCCCCTAGCTCCTAGCAG